ATTATGGCATCCAGTCCCATCACTTCATGACAAATAGAAACGGAAAAGATGGAAGCAGTGACAGATTTTCTTTTCTTGGATTCCAAAATCACTGCAGATAGGGACTGCAGCCATGAAATTAAAAGACACTTCCTCCTTGGAAGAAAAGCCATGACATAAACCCAGACAGTGTATTAAAAGGAAGAGACATCACTTTGCCGACAAAGGGCCATATAGTCAAAGCTGTCGTTTTGTCAGTAGACGTGTACGAATGTGAGGGGTGGACCATAAAGAAGGCTGAGCACCAAAGAGTTGATCCTTTTGAACTGTGGTGCTGGAGAAGACTCTTGAGAGTCCCTTGGACTGCAAGGAGATCAAACCAGTCAATTGTAAAGGAAGTCAACCCTGAATATTCATTGGAAGGACAGATCCTGAAGCTCCAATCCTTTGGCCACTTGATGTGAAGAGTCCACTCATTGGAAAAGACCCTGATGCTGGGAAAGACTGAAGGCAAAAGGAGAGGGGGTGGCAGAGGATGAGGTGGTTAAATAGCATCACCGACTCAATGGACATGAGTTTGAGCAAACTGGGAGATCATGGAGGACAGAAGAGACTGGCATGCTGCAGTCCATGGGGTAACAGGAGAGTCACACACAACTTAGTAACTGAACAACGGCAACAGCAATATATATGCACTTAATGTAGGAGCACCCAAATGTCTAAAACAACACTAACAGACGTAAAAGGAGAAATCAACAAGAATACAATAATAGGAGACTTTTACACCTCGTTTAAATCAATGGACAGATCTTCTAGACAGGAAATGAATAAGGCAACAGAGATCCGAAGTGATACAATAGTACAGTTAAGACTTAATTGATATGTTCAGCTCATTAAACCCATTAAACACATTCTTTACATGCACCTGAAACATTCTCTAGGATTGACCACATACTAGGGTACAAATGGGCCTCAGTGAATTTTAGAAGTACAGAAATAATCCTGAACATCTTTTCTGACCACAGTGGCATGAAAGTAGAAATCAGTGACAGTAAAAGAAATGAGAAAAAATTATTCCATGGCAACTAAAGAACATACTACTAAAAGAACTAATGAATAAACAATAAAACAAAGAGAAAATTAAAAAATACCTTGAGGCAAATGACAGTGAAAACACAGCCATAAAAAAATCTATGGGATGCCACAAAAGCAATTCTTAAAGGGAAGTTTATAGCAATGCAGGCCTTCCTCAAAGTAACAAGAAAAATCTTGAACAACCTAATTTGCCACTTAAAAGAATTAGAAAAAGAACTATAAAACCTAAAGTGAGCAGAAGGAAGGAAATAATAAAGATCAAATAGGAAATACCTAAAATAGAGATTTAAAGCAATAGAAAATATCAATAAAACCAAGTGCTAGTTCTTTAAAGATGAAAGCTTCCGCACAGCAAAGGAAACCATAAACAAAATGAAAAGATTCAAAGAATGGGAGAAAATATTTACAAATATGCAGCTGACAAGGGCTTAGTTTCCAAACTATACAAACAGCTCATACAACTCAACAGCTACAAAAAACAACCCAATTTAAAATGAGCAGAAGATCTAATTTGACATTTCTCCAAAGAAATATAAAGGGACAATAGGCACATGAGAAGATACTCAACATAGCTAATTAGAGAACTGCAAATCAAACTGCAATGAAATGCCACCATACACCAGTCAGAATTGCTATTACTAAAAACTCTACAAGTAACAAATGCTAGAGAAGATATGGAGAAAAAGGGACCCTCCTATACTGTTGGTGGTGGTAATGTAAGTTGGTACAGCCACTATGGAAAACAGTAATGGAAGTACCTAAGAAAACTAAAAATAGAAATACCATTTAATTCAGCAGTCCCACTCCTGTGTAGATATCCAGACAAAACTCTAACCTAAAAAAGAAATGTGCACCCTTACGTTCACAGCAGCACTATTCACAACAGCCAAGACATGGAAACCTAAATATCCATCAACAGAGGAATGGATAAAGTAGTAGCACATATATACAATGGAATATTACTCAGCCAGGAAAAACAGAATGAAATAATGCCTTTTGCAGCAACATGGATTAGGGATTATCATAATAGGTGAAGTGAGTCAGAAAGAGGAAGTAAAATATCATATGATATCACTTACACGTGAAATCTAAAATATGACAAATGAACCTGTCTACAAAACAGACTCATGGACGTAGAGGAGAGCTGTGGTTGCCATGGGGAAGAGTTCAAGGAAGGATGTAGTGGGAGGTTGGGGTTAACAGATGTAAGCTATTACATATGGAATGGATAAACAACAAGGGTCTACTGCATAGCACAAAATTGTATATTCAGTATCCTGTGATTAACCATAATGGAAAAGAATATTAATAAAAGTGTATATTTGTATAACTGAATCACTTTCTGTACAGCAGAAATTCACATACCATTGTAAATCAACTATATGTCAATAAAACTTTTTAAAAGACAAATGGTTATATTGTAACCTGGATTGTTTTGACATCATGTAACAGAATAGATGCAAAGCCCACAGAGGTTCCTGTTTTTTAATGATTTTTTTGTATTTGTTAAAACATACATAACATAAAAGTTGCCATGTTAGCCATTCTTCAGCGTGTGGTTCAGTGGCATTAAGTACATTGAGGTTTTTGTGTAACCATCACCAAGATCCGTTGTGAGAACTTTCTCATCACTTCAGACTGCAGTTCTATACCCTAACTCCCCATTTCCTGCAGGCCCTGACAATCGCCATCTGCTTTTTGCCTCTATGAATTTGTCCTCTAGATACCTTTTATAAATGGAATCATACAGTACTTGTTCTTTTTTTGTTGGTTTATTTCACTTAATTCAATGTTTTCAAGGGTTATCTATGTTGTGTGTGGCACATCAGAATTTCCTTCCCTTTTAAGTTGAAATAATACGCCTTTACATATATATATACTGAAGAAGGCAATGGCAGCCCACTCCAGTGTTCTTGCCTGGAGAATCCCAGGGACGGGGGAGCCTGGTGGGCTGCCGTCTATGGGGTCGCACAGAGTCAGACATGACTGAAGCGACTTAGCAGCAGCAGCACATACATATACACCATGTTTTGTTTATCCGTGCATCCACTGATGGACATGTGGGTTGTTTCCACCTTTTGGCTGCTGTGAACACTGGTGTACAAATATTTCCTTAGGTCCCTGCTGTCAGTTCTTGGGGGTATATACCCAGAAGTGGAAGAGCTGGATTATATGGCATGTTCTCTTTCCTTAGAAAATAGAATCAGGATAAATTGCTTTTAAAAGTTTTTATTTGTATGTGTGCGCTTTAATTCTAGGAATTCAGTGACCCCATGGGTATAGTCCATGGAATTCTCTAGGCTAGAATACTGGAGTGAGTAGCCTTTCTCTTCTCCAGGGGATCTTCCCAACCCAGGGATGGAATCCAGGGATGGAACCCAGGTCTCCCACACTGCAGGCAGATTCTTTACCAGCTGGGCCACAAGGGAAGCCCAAGAATACTGGAGTGGGTAGCCTATCCCTTCTTCAGTAGATCTCCCTGACCCAGGAATCAAACCAGGGTCTCTTGCATTGCAGGTGGATTCTTTACCAACTGAGCTATCAGGGAAGCCCCATCAAAGTGATCAGAATAGCTTATATAAATAAGGAATTTTATAAATCCTCTACCGTGCGTCCTGTGCTAACAGATACTTATAAGATCCAATACCTAAAAAACATAACTATACAGAAATAAAGTGTGAGCTATCAGTGTGATAGACAAGAGTGCAGTGACTAAAATGTGTTTGAAGACCATTTTATGACAACTGGGAAATGTTTACTATACAATGTAGAGTCAAAATCAGAATCCCAAATGTGACTCTAACTTTTATATATGTAAGCAACATATTTGTATTTAAATATTTATAAATTGATTTCCACTCATAAACATAGGAAATGTACCAAAATGTGGTAATCTCTAGTTGGTGGGAATATGAGGGATTATTTTTCTCCTTTATACTTTTCTATAGTTTTCCAAATTTTCTGAAGTGTCCATGCATTATTTTTTTATAATCTTAAAAAATAGGTATTAAAATGATTCCCCAAATTTAGTGTTTTAGTGATTAGAAAGGACTGAATAGATTTAATTTCTGGCAGAGCCTGCCAGAAAATTATACCCAAGACTAAATAACTAACTCTTTTTCCTTAGAAGTAGATAAAATAGGATTAAAATACTGGGATTAATATGTTAAGGTTATAATATGGCAAGTGGGTATCTAGTGTTTTAGGTACATATACACATTAAGGCACGTCTGGAGTAAAAATTCCTAATTGCCCACCCTAAACGTTATCATCAAGATGTTCTCACCTGCTTCCTAGCTGCCTGCCTGTTAAGTCGCTTCGTTTGTGTCTGACTCTGTGCAACCCTATGGACTACAACCTACCAGATTCCGCTGTCCATGGGATTCTCCAGGCAAGAATACTGAAGTGGGTTGCCATGCCCTTCTCCAGGGGATCTTCCTGACCCAGGGATCGAACCCACATCTCTTACTTCTCCTGCATTGGCAGGCATGTTCTTTACCACTGGCCCCACCTTGGAAGCCGAAGTCAGAAAGCAGATCCCAGAGACAGACTTGTCCTGTGCAGTCAAATTGATCCTCCTGAATTGTACTTCTAAGAGTTTAGATTGTGCAGAGGCTATTTCTATCTAGAAGGTTTTGGTCCCAGGAATGACTGAAAAGTAAGTCACAACGAGTATGCATTTTATAGATTTGCCTATAATGAACATTCTCTCACTGTGACCAGACCAACCCTACCTTTATTGTTTGAGAATTCATCCAGTGTCCATACAGTCTCTTTAGGGACTTACAACCCCTAAGGCACTCCTTTTCTTTATATTTAAATTGCACTTCATTTGAAGCAAACTATACTTTAATAAAGTAAGATTTCAACCGTCAAAACAAAAGCTGTAAAATGTTGTCCATAACTGAAATGTTCTTTGTTTCTAGATAATTATATGACATTATCTCGTTTAATTGATTTCTTAAGAAGATGTGGAAAACTTGAAGATGTTCCACGATTTTTCTTAATGGCTGAGAAACGTAACTCCAGAGCAAAACTGGAGCCAGGATTTCAGTACTGTAAAGGATTATATCTTTGGTAAATTTATTGGCAAATAAACTTGAATTACAAATTTCTGCATTTTAAAGTGATAGTTTTATTTACTAAATAAATTATAAATGATTTAAAGTTTGTAGTGATTGAAATAAGTAATTTTTTTTTTTTTTACATCTAACAAGGTATACTGGAGAACCAAATGATGCCCTTCGACATTTTAATAAAGCTCGGAAAGACAGTGACTGGGGCCAAAATGCCCTTTATAATATGATTGAAATCTGTTTGAATCCAGATAATGAAACTGTTGGAGGTGAAGTATTTGAAAATCTTGATGCAGATCTGGGGTGAGTAGTAGTTACAAGATACACTTAAAAAAAAAAACACTTGTTAGGGGCAAAATAAGCAAGGGTATTTTATAAAGGAGAACTAAATTCCAGGATAGCACTACTGAAAGTTTAGTGAATAAATCAGCTGAAATAACTCTTTCCTGAAACAAGTATGAAATGCTTATAGAAGGTTTCCTAAATCAGAATAGATGTTATTAAAGACAGCCCCCCAGTTACTCTGTAAAAAATGGGATGAATTGTAGAGTTTGATTATGTTGGAAAAAATTGTCCACATAACAGTAACTTCCTAACATGATAGCTATCTGCCAAACCCTGTGCTCTATACTTCATTAACTCACTGTCTTATTAATACCTATTCCCTATTACAACATTGTGAAAAAGCTCAAAGTTAACCTGTCTAACGTGATGGAGTTGGAATACAGTGGAGGCAAGGTTTAGGTTGAGTCCTGCCTGGCCTCAGCGCACCTGCTGCTCGCCTTGTGGTGCATCGCTGGTCAGTGGTTATATTTCTGTTTGTGCGTTTGGTCTTGTCCTTTCCTCAGAATCGGGGAAGGCAGGGAGGGGAGCGTATAAGGATGGAAGGGAATAGAAGAGACAGTTTCTGCCCCCAGGAACATGCAATTGACCTGGTAGGCAAGACAGTATCTGAAACCATTCAATGTCCAACAAAACAGAAATGGGTTAAATTGATGTTAAGTGTTGGAGGAATTCATAGAAATCATAGCAGTTGGGGGAAGCTGCATAGAGGAGTGGGAGAAAATAGGACCCAGTTGTTGAGATGTGTCAGTGACAACTTTGAAGGCTTGGATTGTAGAGGCCCATGGAAGGATTTACAGTAAGGGAGAGGCATTTTTATTTTTTGTTTGTTTTAGAAAGGTTAAAGTATCCTACTGTTGTTATGCAACTAAAGGCTGTCCACATGGAAATCTTCAGCCATGGGTTGAACACACCAAACTCAGAATATAGAACTCAAAAGGGAAGTCACAGCTGGAGATACAAATTTGGGGGACCAGTGCTGAGTGGGTAGTCGGGACCCCATGAATGACCTGTTTTCAAGTAGAATGCAGTAACGGACGTCTAAGAACTAAATTTGGGGTGTGCTAACACTCAAGGAGATTAGAGGAGGAAGAGAGGTATGCAAAGGACAGTCACTTTGGTGGAAAGAGAAAGAAAACTGTAATCTTACAAAAAACAAAGAGGAGCTTGGGAGAAGGTTACCAACAGTGTAAAAATGTTTAAAGAAGATAAAAGCCTGAGAAGATCAGTGGCTTCAGTGATTATTAGGCTTTGAGAATTTAATTTCCTTTGTTAATTGATTTACTAATACATTATATTCAGGTGTGGGTCAGTATATAAGAAAATTGCTGTTGCACAAATTGTTACTGCATTTAAAATTTACAACCTTTTGACAAATATAGAATTTCTTTTCCTAAAAGTCTAATAGGCAACAGGGTGAGGAAAATTAAGTACACTTTATATGTCTGGCAAACTTAGATTCAAATCCTAGGTTTAATAGAGTTATGTGACCTTTGGAAAATTATTAATACTTTCTCTGTTGGAGCCTTGGTTTTCTCATGTATAAAATGGATTCAACATTGATTGAATGAAGTAGTAATACAGTGCTTGGCACATAGTAAGAACTTTAACATAGTTACTTTCTGCTCCCTCCTTTTTAAAAATTAATTTTTTTTAATTGAAGTACAGTTGATTCACAATATTTTATAGTCTTTTTTTTTCATTTTCTGAGCAAATATGCTATTTGATAATTGTATGATCCTACTTATCCTGAATTCAGTTTTGTATTAGTGAAATGAATGCACTTACCATAGGTAGATAGTATCCACTTTTTGTTTTCAATTTAAAGTGAATAAATGTCTAATGATGTTTGATTGAAGCTATGTTAGTTTTGTTTTTTAAAACTAACTGTGCTTTAATTTATATTAGAAAAGAATAAGTGACATTCTTCAATAGGATTAGTTTTAAATTGGTGAGAAAAGTAGAAACCAGTGCACCCTCAAGCTCATTCTAATCTCAATGAATTTTGTTTCATGAGTAATAGATACTAACAGATTTATTTTTAATTGTATACAGTAATTCAACTGAGAAGCAAGAGTCTGCGCAGTTAGCAGTGAGAACAGCAGAAAAGCTCCTTAAAGAACTAAAACCTCAGACAATTCAGGGTCATATACAGCTTCGCATAATGGAAAACTATTGCCTAATGGCCACCAAACAGAAATCTAATGTGGAGCAGGCATTGACTACCTTCACCGAAATAGCAGCATCTGAGGTTAGTAGATTTTCTTTTTCAACTTCACATGTTACGTTTCCTTGATGTGTTTAGTTGCATAGTCGTGTCCAACTCTTTACAACCCCATGGACTGTAGCCCACCAGGGTCCTCTGTCCGTGGGGATTCTCCAATCAAGAATACTGGAGTGGGTTGCCATGCCCTCCTCCAGGGGAATCTTCCCAAACCAGGGATCGAACCCGGGTCTTCCACATTGCAGGCAGATTCTTTACCATGTGCTCCACCAGTACCATTCCTTGGTGGTTTAGAAATACATGTTTTTATTAGTTGTTTATTTTCTGAAGATTGACTTCATTATTTACAGTTATTAAAAATTAGGTATATAGTTTGGTATGATTTTCCATCAGGCACCTTTGTTTTCAGAGAAGGCATTGTTACATGCTGATGTGTTGTTATCAGTTCAGTCGCTCAGTCGTGTTCAACACTTTGCGACCCCATAGACTGCAGCACACCAGGCCTCCCTGTCCATCACCAACCCCCGGAGTTTACTCAAACTCATGTCCATTGAGTTGGTGATGCCATCCAACCATCTCATCCTCTGTTGTCCCCTTCTCCTCCTGCCTTCAATCTTTCCCAGCATCTGGGTCTTTTCAGATGAGTCAGTTCTTCACATCAGGTGGCCAAAGTATTAAAAGGGTTTCAGCTTCAACATCAGTCCTTCCAATGAATATCCAGGACCAATTTCCTTTAGGATGGCTTGGTTGGATCTCCTTGCAGTCCAAGGAACTCTCAAGAGTCTTCTCCAGCACCACAATTCAAAAGCATCAATTCTTTGGTGCTCAAATTTCTTTATAGTCCAACTCTTAAATCCATACATGACTACTGGAAAAGCCATAGCTTTGACTCGACGGACCTTTGTTGGCAAAGTAATGTCTTTGCTTTTTAATATGCTGTCTAGGTTGGTCATAACTTTTCTTCCAAGGAGCAAGCATCTTTTAATTTCATGGCTGCAGTGATGAAATTTAATTTCACCATCTGCAGTGATTTTGGAGCCCAAAAAGTAAAGTCAGCTACTGTTTCTACTGTTTCCCCATCTATTTGCGATGAAGTGATGGGACCGGATGCCATGATGTTAGTTTTCTTAATGTTGAGCTTAAGCCAACTTTTTCACTCTCCTCTTTCACTTTCATCAAGGCGCTCTTTAATTCTTCACTTTCTGCCATAAGGGTGGTGTCATCTGCATATCTGAGGTTATTGATATTTCTCCTGGCAATCTTGATTCCAGCTTGTGCTTCATCCAGTCCAGCATTTCTCATGATGTCCTCTGCGTGTAAGTTAAATAAGCAGGGTGACAATATACAGCCTTGATGTACTCCTTTCCCGATTTGGAACCAGTCTGTTGTTCCATGTCTAGTTCTAACTGTTGCTTCTTGACCTGCATACAGATTGCTCAGGAGGCAGGTAAGGTGGTCTGGTATTCCCATCTCTTTAAGAATTTTCCAGTTTGTTGTGATCCACACAGTCAAGGCTTTGCCATAGTTAATAAAGCAGAAGTAGATGTTTTTCTGGAACTCTCTTGCTTTTTTGATGATCCAGCAGATGTTGGCAATTTGACCTCTAGTTCCTCTGTCTTTTCTAAATCCAGTTTGAACATCTGGAAGTTCACAGTTCACATACTGTGGAAGCCTGGCTTAGAGAATTTTGAGCATTACTTTACTAGCGTGTGAGATTAGTGCAGTAGTTTGAGCATTCTTTGGCATTTCCTTTCTTTGGGATTGGAATGAAAACTGACCTTTTCCAAACCCATGGCCACTGCTGAATTTTCCAAATTTTCTGGCATATTGAGTACCACACTTTGACAGCATCATCTTTTAGGATTTGAAATAGCTCAACTGGAATTCTATCACCTCCATTCACTTTGTTCTTAGTGATGCTTCCTAAGGCCCACCTGACTTCACATCTCATGATGTCTGGCTCTAGGTGAGTGATCACACCATCGTGACTCTCTGGGTCGTGAAGATCTTTTTTGTATAGTTCTTATTCTTGCCACCTCTTCTTAATATCTTCTTTCTCTGTTAGGTCCATACCATTTCTGTCCTTTATTGTGTCCATCTTTGCATGAAAAGTTCCCTTGGTATCTCTGATTTTCTTGAAGAAATATCTAGTCTTTCTCATTCTATTGTTTCCCTCTATTTCTTTGCATTGATCACTGAGGAAGGCTTTCTTATCTTTCCTTGCTATTCTTTGGAACTCTGTATTCAAATGTATTGTTATACTCTGTATTCAAATGTGTTGTTATATTTATCTCTATTACAATGATGAGTTCTAGAGAAGGGAAATTCTGAAGGAGGGCAAAAGTTAATTCTCAAGGGAATGGTTTTATCATCTATGTTATAGGTATAACCTAGGCTAACCTACTAAGTGAAAATAAATACCTGAGTGCCTTGATATCACCTTTTCACTTATGTGAACTTGAAATTTTTCCAGCTCTAAGGGCTAAGTGAGATCAGTACTGACAACTTGTAATTCAGTCATGCAAATAATAATATTGTTCTTTAGCAAGCCTGTAATCACCCCCTGCAGCAGTAATAATAATATTTAACAATAATGAATTTTTATTATTAGATCAAAGACTTTCTCTTTTCACCCCCATTCAAATCCACCACCGTTGTTACCCTCTGGGCCATCTATCTTCCCTTCCCTCATACAGTGCTTTATTCTCCAATTACTTGTTATTAAGGAAAGAATCCTAGGTACCCACTCCATCAATGGGCTTCCCTGGTGTCTCAGTGGTAAATAATCCACCTGGCAATGCAGAAGACATGGGGTTTGATCCATGGTTCAGGAAGATCCCCTGGAGAAGGAAATGGCAATCCACTCCCGTATTCTTGCCTGGGAAATCTCATGGACAGAGGAGCCTGGTGGGCTATAGTCCATGCGGTCACAAAGAGTCGTACATGACTAAAGTGACTAACCAACAGCTCCATCAACAGTTGGTAATAGCTAGTTCTAAGTATACACTTGGTATGTTCTTCCACCATGAAAGACTAATAATTTGGGGGCTCTCAGAGGATATACAGAATTTTGCTGTATTTTCTTCTGGTTCGAAGATTACAGTGACAACAATAAACCAAAACCCTATGCTGACCCCTTCCCCTGTCTCTCAAGACCCTGGAGGGCTTGGAAAACCTACAACTCTTGTTGGTACTTGGGCGCAGGTATCTTTGGTGGCACCTCACCACCACCGTCAGCCCTCCTGGGAACAAAACAGCAAGGCAGCAGCTACACAGTCCATCCTCCCGCCGAGCTTCTGCTGGCATTGAAATAGTGTTCTCAGGGGCTCTGCTCAGTGGGATTGACTGTGCGGGAGCAGATGGATGACAGCAGCCGATCCAGAAATAGGACTGTCCTATAAGTCTAAGACAATCTGTAAGAACATGATGAAGCACCATTTCAAGTAAGGTGTCAGAGCTACTGAATGTTGTGGAGTAATGTTCTATCGTGGAAGGTGGTTTTGAACTGTGCGGCTTAAGAGAAAACCCTAAAAGCACTAAGTGACCTCACAGCTGTTGCCTAGAAAGGCTGTGCCAGTTTTGTTTGTTTGTTTGTTTTGGTGAGACTGCCTTACGTTTTGTCATTCTAACATGTGTGGTTAGTAATATTCTGTCCTCAGATCTGCTTGCTGACCACACTGTCCAAAGACTGATGTATGAATTGAAGTTTCATAAGTGAATTTTATCTTGCATTTTTCCCTTTTAACTCATAGGCTGTATATATTAAATGTAATGAATATTCATTGAGTAACCAGTGGGTGCTAAGCATAGACTCACAAAAAGAAGCCACATATAGTTCCTGTCTTCAAGTTTCTCATAACCTACTGAAGAAGAGACAAGCATACTGACTGTAATGTAAAGCAAAATCTGTTACATTCTGTTCTAAAGTTGCAAGTAAAAGTGCTGTTGGGGACAGGATAAGGAGAGCTGAGAGACCTTTTCTGTGGAGGAAGTAATGATATAAGAATAACCAGGATAAACTGCATTTTCACAGGCAGAGATGGAGGAAGTATATTCTCAGTTAAGGGGAAAATGTGAACAAAGGCAGGGAGGCCATGAAGCATAGGGTATGTCCGCAGTCCTGTGTGGCATTCAGATTGATTCAAAAACAGGGATGTGACAGGAAGACATGGGAGGAAACAGTGGAAGATGCATTAAACCCAAGCTGAAATGGTCCACTTCCTTTCTTTCCCTCATCTTGAACTATAAAGGTACATCATTTATAACAGCTATAGCACCTTTTGTGCTATAAAGTTGGTGCACTTTAGAGTGACAGAGACAGAAGGTGGTACAGACGTCCTAAGAGAGAACATCTTAGGATGTCTGCACCAGAAAAGGTATCATGGTCCAGTGCAGGGGTTGGAACGCAGGTGTGCAGTATTAGAAACCATTTTTCAGTTCACTCAGGAGTGATCAAGCTGTGAGGAATTGATTAATTCTAATTAAACTCAAGGTATGTAAATTTTAAATCGGGGCGCTTACTTTAAATGTATAGTGTGGGATATTTTTAGTATGTGAATAGATCTGGGCATTTTTTCAGGACCCTTCTCTTTGTGAGCTGTCCTAGGATTTGACTGACAAATACATATTAAGTCTCTATTTATCATACTTTCCTCTCTAGCCCACCTGGGATAAGGGTACAGTTCAGTAATTAATAATATCCCACATGTCTTCAAAATCCTTACCAAATTGGTTATATTTGGCATTCAAATAAAACCCTTTCTGTGACTCCTTAATTAGAACAAATTACACATTGGAACTTTAACAGAGTGTCTGAAGAACTATAGAGGTTCATAACATTGTACAGGAGGTGGTAAACAAAACCATCCCCAAGAAAAAGAAATGCAACAAGGCAAAATGGTTGTCTGAGGAGGCCTTACAAATAGCTGAGAAAAGAAGAGGAGCAAAAGGCAAAGGAGACAGGAAAAGATGTCCCCATCTGAATGCAGAGTTCCAAAGAATAGCAAGGAGAGATAAAAGAGCATCCT